CTTCTATAAAGTACCTATATTTAATTTGATAATATTAGGCCAAACTATGCCCTTAGAAAAGTGTCTATGGCTTTCAATGAAAGCAGGGAGAAATTTGATCATTAAAACATCTCATATTTAAATATTTTGCAAAATCTGAACAACTTCCTTCCCCAGGAATCACAAAATGAGAGGATCGTTTTTCTGAAAAAAAGTGTATAAGACACCATACCAAGAAAAGAATAGTGAGAACTACCCAAAAGCTGTGATCTCACTCGAAGCATATAGCCACCCTGGAAACACATGATGATAAGTACTGAGACATCTCAGTTGACAACTTACTGGAGAATCCTCATACAATGAGTTCATAGCAATTCCTGCCTTAACACTTACTTCTCTTCTCTCACGGTCAGGCTTTCACCTTTCTAGTTACTTGACAACAGCGTGAGAACTCAGCTACAAGAACTTGCAAAAAAAGGCGCCAGTTCCCCACAGTGATTTCACAATGAAGATTCTCAATGAAAATTTCACAATGGTACTGACATTGTAAGTATTCATTGACTCATACGGCTCCTCTGTATATATCACTGTGCTTTACAGTACATTAAAACAAACAAATGCAACACGTTTAGGAATAGAAGTTAATGGTGAGTGGAAGAGGCAGTTCCTAGGAAGTCACATGACTGCACTATGCTAGTTCTGAAAATGTAATTCTCTTGGTTAGATGGCATAAAAATTATGGGGGTATAAAACTGATGCAAATGCAGCTTTTAGCAGAGTTATTTAAAAATCCAAGCAAAAACGGGCATTTTTCATAGGATCCCAGCACATAAAGGATCAAAGAATAAGTAACTTCCTATCTTTCATGTTATCCTTTCTGACAGCTGCTTCCCTTATACAAAGGGCGGCATGATTGTTTTTGTCAGTCTTATAATTAAAATTACTCTCCAGATACCCTTTGTAATGGTTTCCCTTAGGATTTTAACAGATGTTGCCTTACTAGATCAGGACTCTCCTACACTAAGAAATGCCATCATTATAATCAAATGTTGTTGTGCCTCTCCAAAGTATGCTGTCATAATATGCCTGGATTTATGTACATAAAAGGAATCAGATTATAGGTTCCTATCGAGATGGAAGAGGAGAAGCTACAAAAGAAATATTGAGTTAAAGAATCTTATTCTGAGGCAGCAGTTCAATAAGCAATAAAGTGCAGACACCTAGAACCATATATTGTGGGGGAGCTATTAGTAAAGGGCAGCAAATGGGGAATTTAAGAGTTGTAGTACCAGTGCTAAAGGAAGCTACAACTGTTAAATGTCAAAAATCCTGATTTAAGACATGCTCAAATAGCAATCTGAAATCCAATGAAGGACTCTAAAACAAAGCAACAGCAGTTATTGAGCTATTTCAAGAAAAGTCACCTCCTTGTGCTATGTACCAATGCATGAATTAAGTTAAAATGTGAATTGGGTTAAATAGAGCAATGTAATAATTTTGCTTATAGGACAATTTTTTAAAAGACATTTAAGGCATATGATTCGCATCAAAATCCATGCAGTTAGGCACCTAAATACCCTTAAAAACCCAGTGCCATATTCTTTTTTCCAAATCAGTGCCATAGCGTATTTCATCTGAAGATTTCAAAGTGGCTTACAAAGGCTTACCAAGCAGTTCTGTTGTGCCTTAATTAAGGAACAGAGTAAAAGAGGCTAAGTAGCTTGCCCAAAAGACACGCAATGAATCAGTGGTAAAAAAAAGAAAAGAAAACAGAATGCAGCCCTTGTTTCATAACTTCTGACTCTAACAGAGCCAGTCTTATCTCCCTGGCCCACTCTACCTCACCTTGAGGAGGTTACCTCTTCAAAGATCCAGACAAGATTCTGCAAAAATGTTACTATTTACGACCCCCACCAAGAAGGTAGGTTTGTCACTTTTCTGGGGCAAGTAGATTTTTTGAGGTTTTTTTGAATATCCGTTATGATTCAGGTTAGTGTCAGGCAGAAGGCAGGGTAGTCACTCAGACTGAAATTCACACAGGTGAATGGAATGGGTACTAACTTTAAATATGCATTTGATATTGATTTATATTCTAAAATGTACAGCACCTGGAACTAAGGTTGGCAAGCCAGTCAATTGGCCACTCAAATATTGTCATTTGACTGGTCAATTGATTGCATATTTTTTGTCCGGTCAAAGATTATAGCAATTTAAAAAAAAACCCTACATTTTTTGTAGTTTTCTTGACAGAAATTTGATTTTTAATTTTTTTGACACATTTTTAATGGAAAATTTGTGCTTTTTCTGTGCATTATTTGGACCTGTTTGCAATTTTTTACAATTGTTGACCAATATTTGACTGGTAAATTGACCAAATTTTTTTGACCAGTCAAATACCCAACACTACCTAAAACTATTATGGAAGGTGTTATATAAATGCATGGAATGATTTGGATTAATTCAACAACTGCCACCATTACCATTGACTTTTAAAATTAAATTCATCTGGAAAATAAGTTGTATACTTCTCCACCATAAATATTCACTTTCAGGCTTCGTTCACATAAACTTTTGTTAGGAGAATTATTTAAAGTCACTGAGAAAATATTCAATAATCACAATGAAAATCACTTAGGAAATAGAATATCTCATCTGTATGAACTATCTTCACTATGGTCAGAGAAAAATTTGTCTGTAGCTCTGATTTTTTTCTTCCCCTGCTTTGTGCAGTGATCCCCCGAGGCTGCACCAACAGGAGAGTTTTCTATCTAGACAAGCAGATTTGGTATAAACCACTTTTCCCTTTGGGAAAAATGGAAAGAAGACACAGAAGTTATAGTTCTCTATGGACAGAAAATGACTAGAGCACATTCTTCTGCCAGCCATGACACCTTAATAATAAATTCTGTTTACACAAATTGTCTTCTGTTAGTTTACTCTTCTTCTTTCAAAACAGTCAAAGGCAGATGAAACAGCAGCTCAGCTCAGGAAGGAGCACTGTAAGCAGAGTCTTTAAGGTGTGACCGTGTTTTCTCCAAACACATGAAAAATAGTTTATGCTATCTCATGACCTTAAGGATAGGTGACCGGTCAAAATCTTATATTTTTCAGCTTAATAGCAATGTTTCTACAGGATGCAAAATGGGCAGTCATTGTCTTGGATAAAACAACCAAATCAAATACACGTACCTTCTAATACAGACCACTTCTAATCCTGAATTTACCAGATTGCTATGAGTCCCTAAAGATTTGAATGGGACTATGACTATAGAAACAAGAATACATCACACTTTTGCAGATTAAAAAGTCCAGGTTTTCTTTAGGGCCAGCTCTAAGATCTTCCCACCTAGTAACCCAGAAAGAAATCCCTGATTTACAACTGCAAATATTCTCACAATACACATTTATCTACCCAGGAAATCTTGTCTTCTTCCTTGGACTGCTCACCACCAAATCCCAATTGTGGAATCAGATGAAATAGTCAGCCAATTAAATGGATAAGCTAAAAAGGCTTGTGTTTTTTAATCCAAACTGGTTTGGAAGTGGCAAGGAAATTCCCCCTCCCCCCCCCCCCCCTTCCTTTTCTGTAGCACTTGGACCCTGTAGATGGCAGGGGACAATAAGAGGGTTTTTCAATGAAAGGTCCTCCTTTCTGGTAGCTTCAGACATGTTAACACAGTGCTTTGCAACCTTTTTTCAACTCAAGACACCCCTCCAAAAGTACTACTGTTCACTGTTCATCATATACTCAAGTTTATTTGGTCCCTGCCCTGAAGATACTACACTTTAAATAACAGTTGCTCTTCCTCTGCTTTAAAGTTTGTGGATGCATGTGTGTGAGTGTGTGCATTTCTTTCTCGTGTCCTTGTGTGACAAGGCATCTGGCAGAATTTGCAGATTTGTTGGAGTCTGACAGGGCTGGACCATGAGCACTTCTGCTATGGACTGTGTGTGCATGTGAGAGAGAGAAAGGATTAAAATACATGAAGGAGGAGTCAAGGCTCTTGGTATTTATTCCTTTTTGAATTCAGAACAATTCTAGGGCAATTTGTCTTCAGCCCTGGACAGCCCTAAATAGGGCAGGAATATTTTTGATATGGACGATTGCTGTTTAAAATCTCTGGGAACAGTGCTAACATTACACAGCACCCTGTGACACCCTTCAAAGACTCTCTGGGCATCCTCAGGGTGTGGTGGCAGCATCCCCAGGTTGAGAACCACTTGTTTGAATGGCCCAAGGGACTACAATATACTCATCAAGTTTCTTTGGTCCCTTCCCTGAAGACACTACCATTTAAATTCATCATTTAAATAAATATCTTCTGCTGCTGCTGTTGCTCCTTTTAAAGTGTGTCTCTGTGTGTGTGAAAGTGGGTGCATGTGTGAGAAAGTGTGCAAGTGTCTGCGTGTACAAGTGCCTGGGTGTGCGTGCGTGCTAGCATGTGTGTATGTGTGCATGCAACCACGTGAGCGTGAGTGAGTGTGTGCATGTGAGTGTATGTGTGAGGGTGTGCAAAAGTGAGTGCACAAGTGTGTGTGTGCAAGGGTGTGAGAGTGTATGTGTGTGAGCGAGTAAGTGTGAGGGGGTGTGCGAGTATGAGTGAGCGTGTATGTGTGTGTGCAAGTTTGTGTGAATGTGTGCGTAAGTCAGTGTGCGTGTATGTGTGAGTGAGCGCGTGTGTGAGTGTATGTGAGCGTGTATGAGGGTTTGGTACGTGTGTGGATGCGAGTGTGTATGTGAGTGAGTGAGTGCGTGTGAGGCTGAGGGTAGGAATGAGTGCGTGCATGCGTGTGTGAGACAGAGCGCGAGGCTGAGTGTGTGTGTGTGTGTGTGTGAGGGGATGACTGCACGTGTGCGCGCGGGAGACGCTGGGGCCGCCCCAGAGGGCGGGGGCGGGGGCGCGGCCCGGGTTCCTCCTCCTCCTGCCGCTGCCTCTGAAGAGCGGCTGCCCGGCTCGCGC